CCCATAGTTCTCACCTGGCATCGAGGGGGCAGAGCAGAGGCCAGGCCTCAGAAGAGAGGTTGTGATTCATCCAGGCTTCCATGAGAGAATAGTATAAACTGGTCAGGGGTGAGATCAGAGGTAGACTACCTGGCAAGGGTCCTGAGTTCAATCTCCAACAGAGAAAAAGAAAAGCAAAACAGAAACAAACAACACCATGATCTGGGGGGCTTTTTAAGCAATAGGAAACCAGGTATGGAGATGCATGCCAGTAGTCCCAGCATTCAGGAAGCTGAGGTCAGAGTATTGCCACAAACTCAAGGCCATCCTGAGTGACTAGTTCCAGCCCATTTTGGCCAATTCGTAAAACTGTCTGAAAGCAAACAAATGGGCTGAGGACGTAGCTCAGTTAATAGAGTGCTGGCCCAGCATGCACTGTGGTCTGAGTTCAATCCCAGCACCGTGTAAATTAGGAGTAGTGTCACAGCTGTAATGCCGGGCAGTGCTCTCGAGATGGAGTAGGGAGATCAGAGATTCAAAATCAGCCAGGGAGTAGTAGCGCACATCTTTGACCCCAGCCTGGCCTACAGAGGGAGTTCCAAGATAGCCAGGACTACACAGAGAAACCCTGTCTTCAAAAAACAAAATAGAAAAAGAAGGAAAATGAGGGCTGGAGAGATGGGCTCAGCAATTAAGAGCACTGCTGCCCTTCCAGAGGACCTGGGTTCAATTCCCAGCACCCACATGGCAGCTCACAACTGTCCGTAGCTCAAGTTCCAGTAAACCTGACACCCTCAGAGACATACATGGAGGGAAAATACCAATGCACATAAGAAGTTCAAAGCCATCCTCAGCTATCTATCAAATCCAAGGCCAGAGAGACATTCATGAGACCCTGTCTCAGCAATTAAAAAAAAAAAAGGAAATTATTTTGTTTTTTAATTACTTTTTTAAATAGTATTGTTTATTCTGTGTACTTGAGTGTCTTTGCATGCTTCCTCTGTGTGTGTGTGTGTGTGTGTGTGTGTGTGTGTGTGTGTGTGTGTGTGTATAGGCCAGAAGAGGGCATCAGAGCCCTTGGAAGTGGAATTCCAGAGGGTTGTAAGCTGGGATTGGTGCAGATCCTCGGAAGAGCAGCTAGGGCTCCTAGCCAGGAAGCCATCTCTCCAGCCTAGGAACTTTTTGTTCAGAGACTAGAAGTCTCGGGTCAAGGCAGCGGGGCAGATCTTGCGTCTGTCTGGAGCCCATTTCCTCGTTCACAGATGGCCTCTTCTGGCTGTGTCTCCTTAAGTTTCATCTTTGCTTTCTTCAGGCAGGTTCTCATCTATCCCAGACTGGCCTCGGCCTCGACATGTAGATGGAGATGCTCTTGAACTCCTGATCCCCCTGCCTCCATCTCATTGCCGGGGTTACAGGCATGCCTCAGCAGTCCAGCTTTCACTGTGGTCCTGGTTGATTTCATGTCATTAATTCCATATATGAAGCCTCCACCCTCAAAACCTCATCAACTCCCAGAGGCCCCATAGACTTAGGGGTGATGGTTCCGGCATGTGAATTATGGGGGACACAACATTTAGCCTGTAGTAATACGAGGTGTGTCTGCCTTAGCAACCAAAGATGCAAAGATGAGAACTCTTAAGTGAATGGTTTACAAAGAGAGGAGCATGCTCCGTGATACAACAGTGCAGTGAAATCAGCCTGACATCCCTCTGTCCCCATCCCCCATAGAAGGGATGGAGCACAGAGAATCCAGCAGTGGGCACAGCAGCCACTGAAGGACAATTAGCTTGACACTTGACAGGGCTCATCTTGACCTTGGTTGGAATCATTACCGATGGCTGCCATTAATAAATGACCTCAATTTGGGCGGTGGTGGCACACGCCTTTAGTCCCAGCATTCCTGAGGCAGAGGCAGGCGGATCTCTGAGTTCAGGGCCAGCCTGGTCTGGAGATGGAGTTCCAGGACATCCAGGACCTCACAGAAAAGCCCTGTCTGGAAAAACCAAAAACAGAAAAAGAAAAAGAATACCTCAAAGTTGGTCCCTAAAACAATACGGGTTTTTCATGCTGCTGTCCTGGATGTGTGACACCCAGGCTGACATCAGGATGTCTGTCGTCCTGAGGTCTGTCCTCTCTTGTTCTGCAGCCCCTCCCTCCGCCAGTGGGCAGCACCCTCCAGAGCCAGGATCTGCCCTTGACACGACTGGGTCATTTAAGGGCTTGTATGACTAAACTGGGTCTACCCAGATAATCCCAGGTAGTCTTCCCACCCACAGGGATTACCCTGAGTCACCACACATGAGCTCAACGTTTTCACAGGTCCCTGGCTTTATAATGTGAACATCTGTGGGGGGTGGCATGATTCAGCCTACCACAGCCTCCCCAGGGGTCATCTGGCAGGGCATGAAGGGTTTTGGGGCTTTTTGTTTTGTTTTGTTTGATTGTCTCGAATGGAGAGCAGGAAGACATTATTGGCATCCTGTGGGCGGGGATCAGGGATGCTGAAAAACCCTGTAACTCACAGAAAAATCTCTCACAGCCAAGTTATTCAGGCCTCAGCATCAGTGCCCAGGAGGATTAGCTAAATGACTGGTTGCTGCAACAAAATACCCTCCAAAGGCAGCTTCAGGAATTGAGGACTGGCAAGAGAGTTCAAAGTCTAAAGGTACTTGCCGCTAAGCCTGAGTTAGATCCCCGTGGCGTACATGATGGGAAGGAGACCAAATTCCTGCAAGTTGTCCTCTAACCTCCACACTGGAGCTCGAACACGTGCACCACATGTACACGCGTGCACACTAAGAGTAAGGGAAATGCTGGGCAGTGGTGGCGCACGCCTTTAATCCCAGCACTCAAGAGGCAGAGGCAGAGGCAGGTGGATCTCTGAGTTCGAGGCCAGCCGGGGCTACACAGAGAAACCCTGTCTTGGGGGAAAGGAGGGAGGTTTGTTTTGGCCTGCAGTTCCAGGAGGCAGTCCATCATGGCAGAGAGGGCATGGTAGCCCTGCCCACGGAGTGATACATCTCCCGTTAGGGTGGGTCTTCCCACATCAGTTATCCTAGTCCAGACCCTCACTTGGGAAGCTGAGGCAGGGAGGTCAGGGCTTCAAGATCATGCTCTGCTACAGAGTGAGTTCAGGTGGGGGTGGGCTAGAGAGGTGACCCAGCGGTTAAGAACACTTGTGCTTGCCGAAGACCCCGGCACTTACAGGGTGACTCACAACCATCCAGGACTCCAGTTCTAGGAGATGTGATGTTCTCTTCTGAACTCAGTGGTAACCAACCAGGCATGCACGTGGTGCACAAAAAACACACACGCATGAGTGTGTGGCTACTCATAAAATAAATATCACCTCTGAAAGGGGAGGGGTGGTGCAGAGAAATGACTTAGTCGGTATATTGCTGGATGAGCAAGCGGGAGGACCCGAGTTTCACCCCCAGAGCCCGTGTGAAAGAGCTAAGGGGCTGGAGATTTAGCTCAGTGACAGACTGCTTGCCTAGGGAGGCAGGAGGGTCCTATTCTCAGCTCCCACGGGGAGGGGGGGGTAAAGAAGAGTCAGTCACTGCAGTGTGGCCCTGTAATCCCAGCACGGGGAGATGGGAGCCCCTAACCAGTCCACCTGACTGTTAAGCTCTAGGTTCCGTGAAAGGACCAAGTCCCCCAAACTGTCTCTTGACCTCTGTGCGCCGGTGGCCCACACCTTTAGTCCTAGCACTCAGGAGACTGCGCCGGGCAGATCTCTGTACATTTGAGGACAGCCTGGTCTATATAGAGCCTTCTGGTGTTAGTCTCCATGTACACATGTGTACAAAGTGTGGCCTTCCTCCAGTCAGCAGGACCCGAGGGTCTCAGGCCCCAGAACAATTCTAAGCGCTGTGAACCCCACTCAGTAGAATTGCCTAGACGTCTAGACGTAGATAAGGGGTATTGCAGTCTATCAGCCCCATGATTGCCTCTGAGCCTGGGAATTTCTTGTGGTGGGCTGGCCTGAACCTCAGACAAACGACAGGTTTTCCAAGCTCCGGGCACGGACAGGCCCCCTGTAGGAGGAGATGTGTTTCCCTGTGGCAGCTGTCAATGGGACTTGAAGTCTCACAAATGTGAATTTGGTCTCTATTATGATTGCTGTTATTACTGTTATTACATTTGTTTGTTTGTTTGTTTGTGTGGGAGTGAGCACCACAGTATACGTGTGGCGGTCAGAGAGCAGCTTGGCAATCGGTTCTGTCTCTCCTCCTTCCTCCTCTGTGAGTCCCAGGGATCATGACAAGCCCCTTTACCGACAGACAGGAGCCTCAAGCTGATCCCTACAAAGTTAACTTCTTCCTTCGCAGATGAGAAAAATGGAACCCAGACCCGGCCTGCTGGTACCCCGCCCCGAAGCCTGCAGCCTCCACCAGGCCGCCCTGACCCTGACCTGAGCAGCTCTCCCCGCCGAGGACCCCCTAAGGACAAGAAGCTCCTGGCCACCAATGGAACCCCTCTACCCTGACCCCAGGGGGCCAGGGAAGGAGGGGAGCCCCCTCCACCCCCTTCCCTGCCCCCCCTACTGTGAATCTGTATATAAGGCCCAAGGAGTATGTTGGGAGGGGGGACGTAGAACTCGGCCTTGCCCTGCAGGGATGGGGCTCCAGGGGCCGTGCCCAACGGGGGGAGGTTCTAGGGCAAAAAGGGGGTGGGAGCTCTTTCTATTTATTTATTGATTAACTTATTATTTTATTTATTGATCAATCTCTGCGGGTGGGGTGGGGGAGGGGTGGGAGCTGGTTGGAGGTGGCTTAGCAGATCCGGACAGGGCCCTCTGTCTCTGTGTCATCCCCACCCCCAGCTCCCCTCCCCGGGCCCCTGCTTCCCACCAGGTCCTCCTTCTCCCTTCCCCTTTCGACCTTCTGTACGGATTTGCTCTCCCCGGAAGGAATTCTGGTTGCGCGTGACCCAGAAGGAATTCTGGTTGCGCGTGACCCTGCCTGCGTCTGTGTCTGATTCCGCCGGCGGCAACAACAACAACAACAACAACAACAAAATTAATAAATAGCCTTGATCAGGGACAGCTGGCTGGCCTTCGCCTCTCGGTTCCTGGGGTGCTTCCGGTCACAGGGACGGTGGGTACCACGATGCTGCCCTTCTGAGTGGTGAGCATCACCCCCTCTTCCCTTCGTCCATCAATCATGCTGTCGGCCTCAGCCTCCAGGTCATCATTGGGTGAGCCTGGGCTGGCCCCATCCTTCCTCCTCTGCCAGTTGTTCAGGGGCCGAGTCAGAGCGCCTGTGATGTCTGTATGTTTGGAGACCCAGAGGGAGCCTGTGGGAGGCTGGCGTCCAGTTTGGGTTGTAAGTGGAGGCTGCAACCACCCAAGCTGGAGAAATCCACAGCAAAGAGGCCAAACTGCGTGAAGAGCATCATGGCCACTGCCCACTCGCAGGCGGCGGAGGCAGATCGCATCAGTTGGGAGTACAGGATGATCACTTCACGCCAGTGTCAAGGGTCACATGCCACGTGCTAAAGGCCCAACCACCCACCTCAGATGCGGTGGCACTTTAGGCCGGAAGAAACCCATCTTTGGTCATCCGAGGTGCTCCGCTGCCCTGGTGTAACTACCATGCCCTGTGTCACCCGTATCCCTTCAAAGGAACTCCATCCAGCTGTTACCCACAGTGCCCACCAAATCCTGCCTTCTCTCCACCTGTTGCTGTTTGTCCTCCCATGTGACTGATTGGGAATGGAGTGCCAATGCCCCAAGCCACAGATCCTTCCAGAAATCAGAACTGCTGTCCTGTTGTTTTACCAACAAGTCCCCAAAAAAGTAATTGTGTAAACATCCCTGAGACCTGCCAGGCTAGGGCTGTTTGCAAGTTTCTCCCTATTGCATGACCCACAGCCTCCTCCAAATTAACTTCTTAACAGAACTGAATCTCAGTGCCCCAAATATGTTCCTCTTTCTAAGGGACTCCACCCTCCCTTTGGATCCAAGTTGACACCTGGGAATTCCCCAATCCCTAGACCAACTAACTGGGTCACCTTCAGTCCTGTCCGCTCCACCCAGCACAACTCCACCTACACACACACACACACACACACACACACACACACACACACACTGCTGTAGCTTGCTTCACTCAACTCCTTAACACTTTGTTTTTTGCTGGTGGTGGTGCCCCATGCAGAGGCAGGTAGATCTCTGGTCTCTGAGTTTGGGGCCAGCCTGGTCTACAGAGTGAGTTCTGATACAGTCAAGGCTACCCAGAAGGAAAGCCTGTCTCGGGGAGGGTGGGGTGTTGGAGTGTCAGGCAAGGACTGGAGGGATGGTTCAGCCGTTAAGAACACTGGCTTTTCTTGCAAAGGTCCTGGGTTTGATTCCCAGCACCCATATGGTGGCTCACAACCATTCACGACTGTGATTCCAAGGGATCTATCTGGCACCGTCTTCTGATCTCTTCAGGGACCTGACATGTACATGGTGCATGTACACATGTGTGCAAAATACTTATACCCTCCAAATGAAATAAATAAACCAGAGAGAGAAAGAGAAGCTGAGGGCTCAAGCAGGAGGAGGCAGGGAGGCTCAGCAAGTGAGGGTGCCTACCACCAAGCCTGTGACTTTGGCTCAGTCTTCAGGAATCACACGGTACACAGAGCCAACTCTGGTGTCCATGTAGGCACTGTGGTACACGAGTGCTCCACATGTACGTTCATAGGCACACACTAAATAAGCAAACACTTTTAAAAAGGGTGGGACGGGGCTGAAGAATATAGCTCAATTAGTAGAGTGCTGGCCCAGCATGTAAAAGGCCTTGAACTCAGTCCTCCAACAGGAAACATAGAAGGTGGGATCCCCCACACCTAGAATCCCAGCACTCAGAAGGCAGGGGGGAAAACCATCAAAAATTCAAGGTCATCATTGTCTATATAGCAAATTTGAGGTCACCCTGATCTACATTGCTAGACTGACATTCACACGCACGCACGCATGCACGCGCGAGCGCCTACCTGGCTGGCTCTAGTTAGTAGCATTTCTGATTATACAGGGGCAAATACTGCTTCCCTCAAAGCCATTTCGGGTCACTTATATGAACAACCAAGTTGGGAAACGATGGTCGAGCAACCAGTCTTCTGGAGCTTCAGGGGTCATCGGCAGCCGTCACTAACTCCAGCCAGGACTTTCGCCTTGGCCAAAAGGCTTCCCCTGTCTGAGCCTACTGCAGCTCTTCAGCACCCAGGAAGATGCTTGACACACCTGGCTGGTGCTCCTAGAAGCTAGTTACTAACAGAATGCCTACTTGCCACAAGCTGCATGCCGGGGGCATGGTTCTCCCTCACAACACTGGCTAACTACCTGCATTTTATTTTATTTTTTTGAGACAGGGTTTCTCTGTATAATCAGATAGCTTTGGTGGCTATCCTAGCTTTGTAGAGCAGGCTGCCCTCGAACTCACAGAGATCCGCCTGCCTCTGCCTCCCGAGTGCTGGGATCAAAGGCGTGTGCCGCCACCACCCATCGACCTGCATTTTCTTTAGGATAGATCTCACGGAAGTAGCCCTGGCTAACTTCAGCTGGTGATCCTTTTACCTTGGCCTCAACTACCTGCATTTGATGAGAGGAAGCTGAGGCACTTTGGGGATGCAAGAAACCAGGAGAAGTTCAACATAATACCTGGAGAAAGTGAGGATCCTAGGCAACCAAACTGATCTCCAAATTCACTTCTGTCTATTACATTTGTTTTGCTTTTGAGACAAAGTCTCAAACGTAGCCTAGGCTGGCCTCAAACTCATAATCCTACTTCCCAGTGTTAGGACCACAGACTCGTGCCACCATGCCTGCTTTCCACATTCCACCACTGAACTGTGATCCTAGAAGGACACGAAGGCCCAAAGACAGGAAGGGACACCCACTGTGGTACAGCAAAAAGCAAAGGGGACAAGCCCAAAGAAAAAGGCACCTTTACCCAGTCCTACTGCCCAGCAAGGATACTGGTCACAATGAGGATGGTGGAGAGGATGCAGAAACTCAGGCGGAGAGGCCTAATCCAGCGGGGCCCAGGTTGAGGCAGACCCTTCATCCACCAGGACAGAAAGAATTGTAGCCAGAAATACAGGTTGCCCAGGATAAAGGCCAGAAAGGCCCCTGCCAGGTGCGTCGACTTCTGGTTCTTCTCCTGGGGGAAGGGAGGAGAACCAAAAATAAAATTATGGTGGGGGAGGAAAACTATAGGAAGTAGAGACTTTGAACCAGTCCAACAGGCTGGTGAGATGGTTCAGCTGGTAAATGCTTTCAGGTTACCTATACAGAGGAAGAAAAGAAGTAGCCTAAAAGATGTCCTCTGGCCTCCACCCACATGCTGCAGGATGCAAGAACTCTCTCTCTCTCTCTCTCACACACACACACACACACACACACACACACACACACAGAGGTAGCACCTGCCACCTTATCACCAACTATGAGACTCCACAAAGCAATTTACTTGTTTATTTTCTGAGGCAGGGTTTCTCTGTGTAGCTTTGGAGCCTGTCCTGGAACTCACTCTGTAGACCAGGCTGGCCTGGAACTCACAGAGATCCACCTGCCTCCTGAGTGTTGGGATTAAAGGCGTGCACCACCAACACCAGGCTTATCAGGTTTTATTTGTATGCATGTGCATACCACATGTCTGAAGGTCAAAAGAGGACGTTGGATCCACAGAAGCTGGAATTGCAAATGATGATGAGTGCTTAGAACCACATGTCGGTCCTCCAGAAAAGCAGTTAAGTGTTCTCAGACGCTGAACCATTTAAATTTAATGCTAGGTCCACATCCCACAAAGTAGATGTCCAGGAAACATGAATAGAGTAAATCTTGTGTTCTCAAAGTGTGGAGAGGGAAATGTACCCCCAGGTTGTCCTTGAACTTGATGTGTATGACCTTGAGCTCCTGTTCCTCCTTCCTCCATGCCTTTAATCCCAGCACTCGGGAGGCAGAGACAGGAGGATCTCTGTGACTTCGAGACCAGCCTGGTCTACAAGAGCTAGTTCCAGGACAGGCTCCAAAGCCACAGAGAGACCCTGTCTTGGAAAACCAAAAAGAAAGAAAGAAAAACAAAGCAAAACAAAACAAAAAAAAATCTGTCTCAAAAAACAACAATAAAAAAATCGAACTTATTTTGTGGTGAGAAGCGGGTGTGTCATACCATGGAGCCCATGTGGAGGTCAGAGAACAAGGTACGAAGGTTAATTCTTTCTTAGTATGTGTGTCCTGAGGCTCAAACTCAGCTCACCCTCACCGGGTGTGGCTCCTTCACATGCTGAACCATCTCAATGACTCCCAAATATTAATACGTGACAAGTGAAAATTTCATAGATATGATAATGGTTTGCGACTTACAGGAACACATGTTAAAAATGTGTTTTGTTTTTTGTTTTTTTAAGAATACAGCCAGATGTAATCTTAGCTGAAGTAGGATCCAGTTCTGACTACATAGTAAGTTCCAGGACTGCCTGAGCTAGAAAGACACTTCATTTCAAAAATTCATGAAAGATCAGGGTAGTGGCACAGCCCTATAATCCTAGCAAGAGCAACATATTTATATAATCAGACTCTCTCAAAGAACAAGCCATGGAGGGAGAAGGAGACTGGAGAAAAGCCCAGGAAATTGTTTAGAAAGGCAATACAAAGGAGTAGAGACTGAGAAGGCAGCTCAGTCCACAGAGGGCTTGCCTGGGTTCGGTTCCCAGTACCCACACAGCAGCAGTGTGGCTCACCTGTGATCCCAGAACTCATGAGGTGGTGGCAGGAGGATCTGGGAGCATTCAAAGCCATCCTCCAGTACATACTGACTTCCAGGCTGGCCTGGGCTACTTGAGATCCTCAAAAATAATAAAATAAAAGTCTTTTTTCCCTTTAAGACTCATTTATTACGTATACAGTATTCTACCTGCAGGCCAGAAGAGGACACCAGATCTCATTACAGATGGTTGCAAACCACCAAGTGGTTGCTGGGAATTGAACTCAGAACCTTTGAGAGAGAAGCCAGTGCACTTAACCACTAAGCTATCTCTCCAGTCCCTAACAGGGTTTTCAACAATCTTGACTGTCCTGGAACTCATGCTGTAGACCAGGTTGACCTCGAGAACTCGAGAACACAGAGGTCAGCCTGCTAGACTTAAAGGTGTGTGCACACCACTGTCAGGCCAAAAAAAAAAAAAAAAGTTTTTTTGTTTTGTTTTTCAAGACAGGGTTTCTCTGTGTAGCTTTGTAGGTCAGGCTGGCCTCGAACTCACCTACCCCTGCCTCCCAACTGCTGGGATTAAAATAAAGGCATGCACTTAAAAAAAATGTTCTTATGGAAGAAATATAATAACTATAATATAGTAGTAGGTTGAGGAACATAGAAGTAAATTAGCAATCTGAACATCAATGTTCTCACCCACCCTGCACCTTACGGGCCGTTAGCAGGAGGCTGGACCGCAGAGACAGGACATAAAATGCAGTAACAAAATAAACCAGTGAGATTTTTTTCCCATCCTCCATCTATCCATTCTACAACTATCTATACAGCTTCATGAATGCCGGAACTAGAGTTTGTGAAAGCCTGTTCGTTTCTAACCACCCACAGACAAGCTGCTTGCTCTTTTAGGGTACGGGAAAGGGACTGAGTAGAGTTCCGTGGAGATTATGTATACAGAGAAGCCTCAACCATTATACCGGTCGCAATAATTTCATGATTAAATGACACGGAGATTGGTGGCTGCAATAAAAATTCCCCTAGCCTCCGAGAGGGGCTCCACACAGTTCTGAGTATATATCCTAGCAAAAGATTCTCTCTCTACAAAGCCCCCTATGGGCCAGCTGGTCCCAGGGTAAGGAGAACTACAAGTCCCAGAAAGCCTTGCGAGCCAACTCCAATAGAAAGAGCCGCTGGAAACCGCGGGAAACATAAGGAATTGTAGTCTGGTTTCCGGAGGTTGACCCTAGGTTGGCTCCCCGTGCATCTCACCTGAAAATTGCCTACTATGGAGGTTCCCAGGGCACAGAGGATTCCCGAGCACAGAATCAACTGGTTTTGCCACGTTTTGACGCCCCAGTCCCGGAGTTGATGGTACCGCACAATGCAGATCCAAACAGCTAGGAAAGCATGAGCGAGAGTCAGACTCACTACAGGGTTCCCAACTGAAGGGGATTTCCTGGACCAGGAAGAAGCTGAGGTCGGAGAGAAGGGGAGAGTAAGGGAAGAAGGGATTTGAAGGTACAGGGCTTTGGGGTCTGAGGGAGGAGGGCTAGGGCCTGAACCTTGGGTCGGAGGAAAGAGGGCTGGGAGGTGGACTCCTGGCTTTGAGGGGGAGAGGGGCTAGTTGCCCCGATCTGGAGAAGGAGGAGCTAGGGACCCTTTGGGCAGCTTTGGGAAAGGCATGGAGATACTTACCTAGAGCAGCTCCTGTATTGAGGACTTGGCCGAAAATACAGCTCTGGGGAGCATAAGACCCACAGTTACTGCAGAAGATTAACAGTGTCATCCTTTAGCTCCTCCGAGATAAGACCCTCCGTTTTTCCTCCCCCATCACTCCCTCAGCCACAACAACCTGATGAAGGGGAAGCCGTTCTCCAGCTGCACACTCTTGTTAGCCACGGCAATTGCAAACCTGAGATGGAAGGGATACAGGAAGTCAGTAAGGGGCTCTTAAGGGTAGCTTTCCCTCCTGTTCGCCAAACGAAACATTTCACTCTGTTAACAGACCTGTGTCCCCCCTCCCCATCCTCTTGCCACAAGCGGGCCTCTAACACCCAGCCCTTCCTCCTCCCACAGACCCAGGAAGCCAGCCCTCCATCAAACCCAAGAATGCACACCCCAGCCCTTGTCCCTCAGACCCAAGCATCCTTTGGACCTCTGCTACTTACACAATCCAGGTCCCAGCGATAGCCCATAGAGCTAGGATGACAGGCAGCAAGGACAGGTAGTTCCACATGCTGGGCTGTGTGGTAGAAGTGGAGAAGCTGGGTCTCGCAGGTCACTTAGCAGTCCTCAAATATATGGGGTTGAAGATAACTGTCTCTGTGGCCACATTTGCTGGAAGACTGGTTGAGACAGGCCAGCCTTTGCTCCGGGCAGTTTTCCGTATCTTCCTTGCCCCTAATCAACTGATGCTTGTCTGTTTCCTCCTTCACCTCTACCTCCCAGTCTCTGGGTTCCCCCAGGACCTCTCCTGTCCGAGTTCCTCACGTTCTCTTAACTCTCTTGATGCGTTTCGGTCTGGGTGACAGTATCAGGAAAGACCAGCCTTGATTCCAGGTGTGGTCAGGGAAGGCTGTCCTCCACATTCCCACAGAGGCAAAGTCCAAGCTGAGTGTATATGCGATACTGAGCCTTGGATCTAACCAGTCACTTTCTGTAGGACACCCAAACTACCACTTCCTGTCTCAGATGCTTCAGGGAGCCCCTTCCTTCCTTCCTACAGCTTTGTGGGTTCAACCTCTGATTTCCTCACACACCAGATACAACCTTCCAGACTGTATGCGTATGTGTTTCTTCTAAAGTCCAGCCTCTGTTACCTACTCACAGATCCGGGTTTCTTAGCTCTGGATTCTGCTATAGCCCAGGCTGACTTGAATTTGTCATCTTCGGTCCCCCGAGTAGCTGGTAGTCCTGTACCACCGGGCTGGTTGTCTGCTCTGGGTTTCTGCTTTCTGGGTGCCGATGGTTTGTTTGGTTTGCTTGGTTGGGGATCGTGGTGACCCTACCCCATGCCCTCCCCTGACCCTTTCTCTTTCTGTTTGAGCAGAGTTCCCCCGAACGGGGCAGGGTGGGGGTGGGGAAGCTGATTGTGGTGATGAGAGCTCCGCCTGAAATCCCTGCCCCCCAAAGCAGCCACTTATTCTTCCTTTCTTTGTTTTCTGAGATAGGATCTTATTATCTCTCTGAGGCTGGCCTCCAAAGCAAAATCCTCCTGCCTCAGCCTTCCCGGAGCCAGGATTAAGGCCTGGAGAGAGATGGCTCCGTGGATAAAAGCACTTGTTATGCAATCGTGAGAATTTGGGTTGGAATACTGGGCATCCAGTATGGAATACACAGACGTGGTTGTTTGTGCCCATTAACTGTTGTGTTGAGAATCAGACGACCAGATCCCAAGAGGATGACAAACTTCCCTTCCAATAGACATACCCTGAAGGGAAAAAAGGAAGATGGCAAAGAAGAAGACACTTGACATCTCTGGATTCAGCTTGCACACGTGCAAAGAACTGGCATGGTGGTATTCGGCCACACGTGCGTGCACGCACGGAACAATGGTGATGATAAAAGTAATAAATGGTGAGACGGCAGTACATGAAAACACCTGCTGACATGTCTGAGTTCAGTCTCTGGGACTCAGGTGATATAGAGATCTGACTCCCACGAGTGGTCCTCTGAACCCCTCACTCATGTCATGGCGCGTGCAAAGTAAATAAATAAAAGCAACAGCTAACAACAGTAATTAAAGAGCCAGCTGCTGCTCTCCTTCTCAAGCGTGTCCCCTCTGTGCCCTGGTGTTTGAGTCTACCTTTCTCCGAGGAATCAGGAGTCTAGATCCTAATCCCTTTCAGCCTCTGCCTCCCAAGTGCTGGTGTTAAAGATGTGTGATGACAACCATCTGCTTAATTGGGGGGCGGGGCACACGTGTGCAATGGCATGTTTGTATAGGTCAAAGGATGACGTCTTGTAGAAGTCAGTGGTCTCCCACCTTCCAGGGACTGGGCTCAAGTCCTCAGGCATGGTGGCTGGCACCTCTGCTCAGCATCTTTCCTGCCTTTTTTTTTTTTTTTTTTCAGATAGAAGTCATCTAGCATAGACTTAATCCCTTGCAGGCCTGAAAAAAAGATGTCAGATACCCTGGACCTGGAATTACAGCTGGTTGTGAGCGACCTAACATGGATGCTAGGAGCCAGACTCAGGTCGTCTGGAAGAGCAGTCATGGCTCTCAACTCTCAGCTGCTGAGCCATCTCTCCAGCTCTATCTATTTATATTTATTTATTGAGACAGGGCTTCTCTGTAGCCTTGGCTGGTCTGGAACTCACAGAGGTTCACCTGCTTCTGCCTCCTGGATGCTGGGATTAAAAGCTTGGTCCACTACACCCAGATAATTTTTTTTTAATTTATTTAATAGATAGCCACACAAAAATCCCAGAACTGAGAAAAGGAAGTGGACACAAAGTCCCGTGCCTAACCAAGAAGCTATTTGCAACTGATAGCTGCTGAGAAAGACAGAATCAGCTTTTTCCAGTGGAGTGTCATGGATATACCAACCATACTCCAGGAGGGGGCTCATGCATGCCCTTGAGTAGTTGACCAGTACAAAATGACTCCAGCCAGGTAGTGGTGGCACACACCTTTAATCCCAGCACTCAGGAGGCAGAGTCCAGCCTGTCTACAGAGCGAGTTCCAGGACAGCTAGGACTGTTTCACAGAGAAATGCTGTCTTGAAAAACCAAAACCAAACCAAAAAAAAAAAAAAGGACTTTATGTTACTTTATGTTTTTTTCTATGTGTGTGTTTTGTTTTGTTTTCTGATGGCTTTTTTTTTTTTTTTTTTTTTTTTTTCTCTTTTTTTAAGTATGTTTGTCTTGATTTTTGTGTTTTGGGTTTTTGTTGTTTTTTTCCTTTTTTTTTTCTGAGAGAAAGAATCTGAAGCTAAATGGATGGGGAAGTGGGAAGGATCTGGGAAGACTTGGGGAAGGGGAAAGAATTTGCATAAATATATATTGCATAAAAAATTTTATAAATATAGATTATTAAAAATGTTATTGGCCAGGCAGTGGTGGTGCATACCTTTAATCCCAGCACTCAGGAGGCAGAGGCAGGTGTATTTCTGTGAGTTCAAGGGCAGCCTGGTCTACAAAGTGAGTTCCAGGACAGCCAAAGCTACACAGGGAAACCCTATGTGAAGAACCCAAAATAAGAGGAAAAAAAATTTACTTTAAAATGTTTTAGCCGGGCAGTGGTAGCACATGCCTTTGATCTCAGCACTCGGGAGGCAGAGGCAGGCGGATCTCTGTGAGTTCGAGGCCAGCCTGGTCTACAGAGAGAGTTCCAGGACAGCCTGCAAAGCCACAGAGAAACCCTGTCCCAAATAAATAAATAAATGATCTCTGGACTCCTTTGTGACTTACCCAGTCTGTGGTCTCCTGTTTGCCGCAGCAGAACACAGACTGAGACACACTCAACACCCTTTTTCTGGCTTGTGATGTCTCTGTAACCCCATCTCTTTGATCCTAGGCCTTAAATTCTGCTACATCTCCAGTGTGTTGGCACTAGGACTTTAGGCTTTGTTGTGTGAGCCTTTAGTCTCTTATCTTTCATTTTCCCTAGACATGTGAAATATGTTTACCTCCCAAGTCTCATGAGTCTCCTCTCTCCTTCCCAGAAGGAGTGCTTCTGAAATGAAACCTCTCTCTGAGAGGAGAAAAGTAAGAGAAACTGAGGTGGCTAGCATAGGTATTTGGGACTAGGGACACCTGTTGTCTCAGCACCACGGAGTTTCAGAAGTTTGAAGCCATCCTCATGAGTTCAAAGCCAGCCTCGGCTGAGCACCAACTGCTCTTCTAGAGGTCTTGAGTTCAAATCTCAGCAACCACATGGTGGCTCACAACCATCTATAATGAGATCTGGTGCTCTTTTCTGGCCTGCAGACATACATGGAGGCAGAATGTTGTATATGTAATAAATAAATATGTAAATATATATATGTATATATATATAATATGTACATTAATATACATAACACATACATTGAGGGGCCAATGAGATGGATCAAGGAGTAAACATATTTGCTGAATGGGCCTGGCTACCTGGGTTTAATCTTGAAACTCAGATCAGTAGGTAAAGTCCTTGCCATGTAAAGTTGAGGTAGGGAGTCTGGTCTGCAGACTCCATGCAGAGGTGTGGGGGGGGTGTGGGGAGCTGGGGGATGTTGGAGAGGCAGTTCACTGTGTAAGGATGCTGCCACCAAACCTGACAACCCAGGTTAGATCTCTGGGACTCACAGGATAAAAGGCAAGAACTATTCCTGCCACTTGACCTCTGACAGGTCCTACATGTGTTAGAGCTGCGCCCTTACACAGACAAATAAATAAAGATATACATTTTTAAAATTGTATATTTACTTTTGTTTGGTTGGGGTTTTGTTTTTGTTTTTGAGACAGGATCTCTCTACATTGCCCACCCTGGCCTGAAACTGACTTTGTAGACTTGGCTGGCCTTGAACTCACAGAGATCCACCTGCCTCTGCCTCTCTAGTGCTGGAACAAAAGATGTGTCCCACTGTGCCTGGTTCATGCATGTAATTAAAATAATAATAATAAAATAAAAACTGGCCATAGTGGTTTGCCAGTAATCTCAATGCCAGAGAGCCTGGCGGGACTCATTGGTCAGCATGGTCTACTTCATAAATTCCTGGCTGGTTACAGACCCTGTATCAAAATTCAGGGTAGGTAGTACCTGAGAAAAGGCCCCTGGAGCTGTCCTCTGGCTTCCACCTACATGCACACACACAGGCACACATTCTAGCACACATAAGTGCACCTCCCCCAAAACAAAAACACATAAATACAAGGGGCAATTATAGCCAGTGTTTATGGGGATAAGAGCCCCAGCAGCCACACTCAGAAAGAGGAAGTGTAAGAATTTGCAGAGTCATCCCAAACCTGGCATGTGGAAATGCAATGGGGAGCAGCCAGTAGCAAAAAAACAAACAAAACCAGTAAAACCCAAAGCTCTAAGATGCCAGGAAGACTTGGGATGACTCCCTGTGGTGCTGGGAAATCTTGTGAGGTCTTTGAACCAGGAAGAATAAAAGAAAAAGATGCTCAGTAACAGGAAGTAAATACTAAAGCCTGGGTGTGCCACTGGGCTGTGGTGACACATTCTCCTTTAATCTCAGCATTCAGGAGGCTGAGGCAGATGGAGAGTTCCAGACCAGGTAGGGCTGCATAGTGAGACCCAAGAGAGAGAACCAAACACACACGTGAGCGAGCACATAGAAAGACACATACACACAGAGAGACACAGAAAGACAATGAATGGTGGCTATGTTTGCTCATGCCTGTCATCCCAGCCCCAGCTCTCAGGAAGCAGAGGCAAACAGGATTGCTGCAGGTGTAAGGCTAGCTCTGTGTATACAGAAAGTTCCAGGCCTGACAGAACTCAGTAGTGAGACTCTGTATCAAAAAACAAAATCAAGCCGGGCAATGGTGGCCCACACCTTTAGTCCCAGCACTCAGGAGGCAGAGGCAGGCGGATCTCTGTGAGTTCCAGGACAGCCAGGACTACATAGATACACTCGTGTCTCGAGAAATCAGAGCTAAGGATGCAGCTCAGTTGGTAGAGTGCTTGCCTAGAATTCATAAAGCCGCAGTTTCTGCCCCCAGCACCCCCTTAACCAGATGTGATATTGCACACCTGGAGAGTCGGAGCAGGAGAGCAGA